CTTAATTATATTTTAGATTTTTTATATTTAAAATGAGATGTTTATCCTGTATTTGATTGTGTTTATCTGCAGTTAGTTACACGAATTCAGTTATGGAATGAAATCGGATAGAGATGAAATTGTTTAGGGATGAACGGGTTTAAGAATTTTTAAGAGTTTAAGAGTTTTAAGAGTTTAAGAGTTTTTAAGAGTTTTAGCCAAATGCTTTATAATATAGTATAGATTATAAAGCATTTGACAAAAACTCTAAAAAACTATTTTTTATGCATGAAGTGTTGTTGATTGATGCATATTACTTAAAATTCAAGATTACAAGTAAAATTATACGTAAGTACAACTTATTAAAACTTTATGTTTGAATTCGTGTAACTCACTGCAGATAAACATAATCTTAAAGGATAAACATCTCATTTTAATTATAAAATATCTAAAATTATAATTAAGAAAATCATTGAGTTCTAACAGAATACTTAATTATTATTTTAAATAAATTATTTTATTAAACCAAAAATAAATTAGTTCGTTTTTAAAATTCAATTAAATCATAATAAAAAATTGAATTAAATAAATTACACAAAAAAAAACTTTTAAATAGTTAATTTGATACTAATATCGCTTATTTTTATCAAATTTTATAATATCTTCAAATTCATATTTCATTCAAAAATAAAAACATTTTCTTTTTCTCAAAACCACATAAAATCGCATTATAACATTGATAGACCCAAAATATAAAACGAAACAATAAAATCAAGATGTATCTCGATGCATTGTGCGAGTACCCTTATATATATAGGGTTGGGTTCACGTGAGACCAGTCTGTTTTCGTGAGACCCGTGAGACCACATTTTTACAATTGAAATTTCACAGCAAAAACACTGTGAAGATTAAAAAAAAGTCAAACCTTCACAGCAAATACATTGTGAAGGTTAAAAAAAGTCACCTTCACAGCATCTTTCTATGAAGTTTCAAGTGTAAAAATGTGGTCTCACGGGTCTCACGAAAATAGGTTGGTCTCACATGATCTCAAGTGTGTGTGTGTGTGTGTATATATAGATATATTAAAGGAGAAACTAATAAGAATGACATGGCACTCTTGAAATGTGGTTAAATTTGTTTATCCCACATTGATGAGAAGAAAGAAAGTAGAATGAATGAAATGTGTATATATATGGAAAGAGAATGTGATTTTTTTTGTTGTTGCAAATCATGATATTGGCTCAGATGAGTCAACTCTTTCATTTGCGATTATCATTATGAGATATGATTATTTTTTTTAAATCTTGAAACGTGGTTAAGTTTGTTTATCTCATATAAAAATATGACCCATTTTAATATTGAGATGACATCTTGTGAGTGATGTATTTTAAAATCTTGCGTTGAGCTTGGTTTTTGAAAATCCCACATTGCTGAACAAATGATACATCGATATAGTATGATAAGTATATATAAAATAAGCATGTGATGGTTCAAAAATTAAAAGAGCAATATAACTATGTAAACCATTGTTCGACCGCTTAATTTTGGAGTGATAGTTTTTTTTATTATGAAAGAGCAACAATTCGAGTTGAGGTGACATTATATAATTTGAGTATTCTCAAAGTCATAAATTATAGTGTTGTTTAGATTTCCTACATTGGTAAGAAGATATCTATACTATATTATAAAGCATTTGCCTAAAACTCTTAAAAACTCTTAAACTCTTAAAACTCTTAAACCCGTT